ATCGTGTGGGTCATTTCTATACAAGCTACTTACCTCTATACAAAGCAAATGGAATTCAAGGCTATTTTCCTCTTTCTGGCTCTTGTTTGTGCTTTTGCTTCCATCAATGTTTTAGATGCATCTCTCCATCAGAGAGCAAGTCTAAGTTACTCCAACATCTATATATCTAGCTCCTATTATTTTTATTTTTCAAACTCATTGTTTATGTCTATCTGAGGTAGAATTACATTTTATATCCAAAAGCATAAACAATGTAATTTTTGTGTCGAGATTGCTATATATTCAAAAGCATAAACAAGAAAATTATTCAGATGCCAATAAATTTTCCCACCTACCCTACCAATTACAGGGAGAGGATTGCACTCTTCAAGTGAGAGCTGTAACAGAGGATGTTTTGCCAGGAATTTTTTTACAAATGTGTCATCTGTTGCTCGGAGGTGGACATGACGGAGGAGAACTTGCCGGCGGCTAACGGAACCGCCGCCAATGGTCGGTACTGTATATACATGAACAATCAATTTCCATTCATTTCCACCAATATATCTACTTGTTTATTTTCTACGACTATTTTACATGCACATATATACTCTGAAATATGCTATGCAATAGTTATGGAGTAAAAAAAAAAATAGTTACTTCTCGTATGGTGGTTAATGAGACGTTTTTACATTTTCGAATGATACAAGTACAACCACTGATATTCATCAATCTGAAAGATTCCAAATTCGAATCACTTAAATATCAACTAAAAACAAATTTATATCACACCTGTAAAATTCTTAGAAACTTGAGGTCCCCGCGATATCACACCTGTATTGTCGGCCAACATATGTTAACGGCTGACTATAATCATTGCCTTTTTTTTTATCTCAATAAAGAAATCCTACCAGTTCTATTTTGAAAATTTCTTAAATACATAATATTTTTGCATATAAAAGATACCATTTTACATTATTTGTTAATAATTTGTTTCTTCATTATACATACGTACAGGGAAGGAATCAGACAAGGAAGAAGCAATCTCGCCCGCCAGCAAAACAAAAGAGTAACAACAAAGGAGGAAGGATGAATAATGAATTTCATGTTTCGACAATAAGCAATTTATAATAATGCAAATAAAGGCTCGCAGAGTACAATAAATATCACGAAAATATCTATAGCTATCCCTCAAAATAATATAATCTGTATTGCAGTTCTCATATTTATGGTGCCAAAATCGACCCTTTGAGGTCATATTACTATTTTACTTTTACTATATAAATACTACCACTTATATTTGGAGTCGCTAATAAATTGATTATTTACGTCGAATTGGACAGTGACTCAATGTTAAAATGGGAAATCATAATTAGTGAAATTTCAATTTTCAATTGTAGCTTGCTTAATTTCGTTATATTTCATTTGGTACGCCTTCATTCAATTTTCCATCTAGATAGATATATAGAGAAAAATAATATTCTGCATCAACAAAATTATATTAAAAAAAAAGCTATGGTGTAAAACCTAACAAACCCCAACACCAGCACTACACCTAACCCCACCCTACCTAAATCACCCATTGTCCAAAAAATGCACGTGGATTGGGAAAATGGAGAACCAAAACAACTCAATCAACCACGCGATGTATAATTATGGTTGGTTTGGCTTCGGTGATAGTTTAGTTGAATAGTTATAATTCTTCTATTGTTCATAATATATCGTTTTTTTTAAAGAAAAATTCGCACAAACATTATAAGCGTTATTTGCTTCATATGACATAAACTATCACTTAAAATGAGTGATATTTAGCGAACAAGAACTTGGTACAGTGGTAATACAACTGGTTTTCAATCTGACTGTCCCAGAATCGAATCCCTTTAGTAGCACACTAGCACCTAACTATAAAAACAAGTATCACCCTTATATATATAAAAAAAATGAGTGATATCTAAATATCATGCTTTAGGTGAGATTGCTGAGAAAGTTTGAGTAAAATTATTTTAGTTTATTTTTATTTCAACTATCTCAAATAAATTTTTATGTGTTATTTTTCTTACAATAAAAATAAAGAGTAAAACTGATATATCAAAAAAATATAATTTATTTAAATACTATTATAACTATCAAACAATAATAAATTATAATATAGCGATTTCCTTAATTATAGGTATAGTATGTGTTCTTCACAATTCATCAGTTTAACTATATCAAAATCAAACCAACCCATATTATCCCAACTAGTTTCTACCCTCAACCAAGATTAGTAACCTTGCTCGTTTCATTGTTTAAATTATTTTGCGTCTGATCCTAAGATAAGAAGGCAAGGTTTGTAAACAATAACTTTTAACCTATTTCACATACTCCAATTTATGATTCTCTATTCCTAGCCTATGCCTGAAACAAAATCTATTGGCTTTTGGCTCAGGGCCTTACTCAAGCTTTTTGAATCGAACATGTTTGCTCATTAAGCAAAATAGGATTAGCCTACACCCCAACTATATACAGATTATGGAGAGATTTTCCCCCCAAAATATAAGAGTTAGTAAAAATGTTGTCAGTATACAAATACTTGCACTAAAATTTCTCAAAATACGCAAATTTTGGCGATTCTCTGCATTGTCCAGCGATTTTGATGCTGGTTCGCTAGAGACAGGAGCTAACCAGTCTAGATCATGGCCAACTTAAGCGAACTAGCTTCCAACCAGCCTAAATTGTTGGAGACCATAGCGAACCGGCTAGATCGCAGCAAACTCCAACAGCTACTGATCCTAAAATCACTAGACACTCCAACGATCTACACTTAACATATGTCAAAACATCAAACGGCTGTAATTTGCACACGATAATCTGATTGTAGCCTAAAAAAATATTTTATGCATAACTACTCAATACGCAGTTGGCCTTCACAATAGACTGCATAGATTCTGTAGATGAAAGGTGATCTCAGAAGCTGAGTTGCAGCTGCTGCACTCTGGTAGAAATCGCCCAATTGCTGGAAACGATTGCAATGAACCCAATTGCTTATGGCGATCATCTATAGATCATATAAAATAAGGTTGAGAATTTATGTAAACCCAAGATTAAATCATTGTTTACATGTTAGCTGGACAAATTTATGCAGTGGCCAAAGGAACATTGTTTCCTGTCTATAAATATATATAAATAAATAAATATATATATATATATATATATATGGTGACTACTTCGGCGCACTCACAAAAATGAGTGCATTCAATGCACCCAACTCAAAAACTAGTCTTAAGGAGTCGGATTTTGAATTTTAATTTGTAGAATTAGTATAATATGATGATATAACATATGATAACAACTAATTAGCGGATTACCCTAAGCCCTAGAACTCCAATTTTGAGTTCTATCCCTAAACCCCAAACTGTAAACCCTAACCCTAACCCTAGATCTTTAAACTCTAAATCTTTCAAATTAAAGCAAATCTTTCATGGTTTTTGTGCAAATTCATGTGCGTTATTGTTCATCACATCATAAGTGATGATTGACATCATTTTGACACAAATCTCATGTTTAAAATGACGATTATGAAGCGAGTGCACTGAATGCACCCAAAAAAGTGAGTGCACCGAAGACGCCACCATATATATATATATATATATATATATATATATGCAGTGGCCAAATCAACATTGCACTGTCTCATAATTGTCATTCTGACCATGCGATTCATGTCAAAACGGTATCAATTGTTGCTTATGATATTATGAACAAGAAGCACATGAATTTGAAAAAAAAAATTCATTTAAAATTTACTTTAATTCAAAGGATTTAGGATTTAGGGTTAGGGTTTAGGTTTACAATTTTGGATTTTGGGTTGTGATTCAAAATTGAAGGTTAAGGGGTTAGGGTAATGGATCGATTTGTTATGATTCTATGTCATATCTTCATATTATATTGAGAGTACTAATTAAAGTTCAAAATTTGATGTGTTATGGACGCTTTTAGAGTTGGGTGCATTGAGTGCACCCAAAAAGTGAGTGCACCGAAGTAGCCACCTATATATATATAGTTCAGGCTAGCGTGCGCCCAGGCGTACGTTAGGCTATCGTACACCGGTTGAGTTTTACTATTTAAATCATGAATTAACCGGAATTTTTGGCATGATACTATACCCTAACCTCTAATGGGTAAACCCTGGTCCCTAATTTTCTAACCCAAATCATGAGATTCGTTTAATCTTAAAAAGTAAATCAACAATAATTTTGACAAATCAGGACCGTTGATTTTCATTTCAAGATTAAATGAATATTATGCTTTGGATTAGTGAATTGGGGACTGGGGTTCACCCATTAGGGGTTATGATATAGTATCATGTCCCAAACTTTGGTTAATTCATTGTCTAAATAGCAAAACTCAACGGGCGTACGGTAGACTAAGGTACTCCCGGGCATATGCTAGCCTTTGCCATATATATATATATGGTGCCTTCTATCGTACCCTAGGTAAAATCTAGGGTACGATATACCTTGAGTAAGAAAATGCTATATAGACCTCGAATTAACCGGATTTCGGGACATGATATTGTACCCTAACCCTTGATGAGTGAACCCTAGGTCTTAGTTATCTAAATCATAGACCCTAAACCCCAAGATTGTGCATGTAATTTGTTGCATATATTTTGACGAATCATGACCGTCAATTTTTTATTCTAATTAAATTCATTTTAGTGTATAATTTTTTTAGAATTAAGGCCTAGATTTTAATCTATAAGGATTAGGGTATACTACCATATCGCAAACTCCGATTAATTCGAGATCTAGATAGCGTTTTTTTACTCAAGGTATGATATACCTTTGATTTTACTCAAGGTACGATATAACCATCCATATATATATATATATGGTGGCGTCTTCGGTGCACTCACTTTTTTGGGTGCATTCAATGCACTCGTTTCATAACCGTCATTTTAAACATGCGATTTGTGTCAAAATTATGCCAAGCATCACTTATGATGTGATGAAGAATAACGCACATGAATTTGCACAAAACCCATTAAAGATTTACTTTAATTTGAAGGATTTAGAGTTTAGAGATTTAGAATTAGGGTTTACAATTTGGGGTTTAGGGATAGAACTCAAAATTGGAGGTCTAGGGCTTAGGATATCCGCTAATTAGTTGTTAGCATATATTATATCATCATATTACACTAATTCTACAAATTAAAATTCAAAATCCGACACCTTAAAACTAGTTTTTGAGTTGGGTGCATTGAACGCACTCATTTTTGTGAGTGCACCGAAATAGTCAATATATATACTCAATGCAAGGCCTGCAAAATCAGTAACAATGCCTGCACCAAAGCAAGGTGCCATGAAAGAGTACTCAATGCACAACATAAGAAGAATAGCATAAATTTCATGTACTTAAGATAATGGCTACAGAAACCAGTGCCGCTATCACTTGAATATGATTTGTGCAGTGCTGGAGGCCCGCTGAAATCCATTCAACTCTTTCAGAGTTTTTATCTGGTGACTGGGCTCTATATTTGCCGACAATGTGATCCCCATCTTGACAAGCTTGGGTGTAACAGATAATACCCATTGAATGAAACGCATCTCCGACAACACACCCTGCAACCGGTTCAATTCCACTTTCCTCAGCCTACTTGCTATGTAATGCCTGGTTCTATCCAGTTTTTGATTTGGCAGGTTGATATCTGCCTTCTGGCTTGCGCCTGTCGTAGTCTGCAATTGCAATCAAAGAAATACTAGTAAGAAGCAAACTTGTCTTCTTTATTTTATGTATCCAGTTTCTGACAAAAGCTAGACAGGGGATCGCTTACAACCAAGATTTAATTCCTCTACCCAAAAGGTATAACTCATCTGGTCCAGCAAACAACCCAGACACGCACACACAGAGAGAAAGAGAGAGAGAGAGAGAGAGTTAAAGATCTCACAGTGATGATGAGTTCTTGCAAGTTGGGGAAGAGTTGGATTAAGAGAACAACACGCCACATATCATGGTAAAAGCTGAGACACACTTCATTCAACTTCAGTTGCCTAAGCATCATTAGGTTCACAGCTGGATCCGGTTGACGAATCAGCTCTAGGGTTCCCCAGTCCTGTATTGCCCAAATGAGTTTATATTTTACAAAAATAGCTGTTGCCAACGCCCTACTCAAAACTCTTGCCAAGATGATTGTGCAACGGTTCAAGACAGTAGTAGTATGTTTACCTCAAAGAGCTGAATTGCCACAGAGAGCCGCTCTATTGCTGGACAACCACCACATAATTTCATGAAATTGGAAGGCCCATTGCTCTTAGGATGACCAGCAAAGCTTGCAGTCTGATTAATGGTCACATCTTTGAGAAGTGGAGCCTCCTTGACCCACAGAGAACTGAAGCTCCCCACACAATGGAGAAGGCCGAGGCTGGGTGCTTCAATCAGTATATCTAGACGGTTGAAGGCACTTCCACAATCCTTCATAGTCAAAGCAGAAAGCAATGGGCATCGAATGGTGAGAGAAACCTCAGCAACATCCGGGAACTTGACCGAGCTAAGATCAAGGCAAGTAAGCATGCTGAATTCCTCGAACGAAATTTTGGACGAAGTGAACATGCAGCCAAACAACTGCAACTTCTTGAGCTGCCTGAATGAGAAGAGACGACTAGGCAGCTTGTACCCATCGATCGCAATGCATAAACTCTCAATCGGTTTGCCATACAAGGAAAACATGATTTGATCAACATGTGCAGGGTAGCTCCTCAGTTGAGAGATAGAAAGCGAGAACCCACTCAAGGGTCCCCGGTGGTAACAGAGAACTCTGAACACATTCAACACGAGCTTGTCGATCGTATTAGGAACGGCCCCATAAGTGGCATAGTACTGAGCAGACGTCTCAACAACTGGGAATGGCGTCCAAAAACGGTCATCGAATATGAGCGATGGAAGATTAACCCATTTATCCCTCCAGGAAGTTGACAATATACTGGTCTTAGCTGCTTCTCGTAGGGGGAGAAAGGTCAAGATGTGTTCAATTAGACTCTGCGGCAGATAACTGATTCTATCGCCACCTTCGCTACTGCGAATGGATTTATTCCCCGGAACAGGAACATCCTAAGGACAACACAGCACAATGGAATCGTATAAGAACATACAGCACTGCGAAGACTCTGAATTTCTAGGGTTTCGGCTAGAGGGAAAAGGAAACCATATAAATGCTCGTAATCATTGAAATCCCAAAATGCCGCAATAGGGAAAACTTTGAAAGAACGACTCACCATGGTCGGCAATGGCTCTCTTGCTTTGATCTTTCTGTTGGATTATTGGTGCAGTCGTTTCCTCCCGGCCACTCCCCGTCTCGGTTGAACACTTAGCATCGGTGATCGGGAAGACTTCGCTATATTTGATTTTTCCCTCGCTAATTTTGACATTTTGATGAAAACAACCCTAATATATATTTGGATGAATTCCCAAAATTCACATGTTTTTAAAAAAAAATTTCAACATACACACGTTATAATTTTTTTTTTCAAAATATACATGTTTGGGCATCACCGCTGTTGTCAACCGCAGTGAATGCATTCACCGCGGCCAAGGTTCAAAAAGGCGCTAGGCGTAAGCCGAGTGTTGAGCCTTTGCCTAGCGCCTAGCTTGCCTAGGCGTAAACTAAACGTGCCTAGGCGTTGGAAGAAAATAGCTATTCGCACTACATGATGAATGGAATAATAATCTACAACACTTCCTCACTTCAGTTTAAAATGATTAATAACTTACTCGACACTTAATGACAAGAACATAGCTCACGAATTCATAGATTTATTGATCAATAGCTCACAAAGTTCTTGAGCTATTGAAAATATTGATATAGAAAATTGATTTAGTAGTTGATGTTAATTTTCTCCTTTAATATTGACTTCCTAACTCCATCAATAAATGTTTAGGAGAGACTTAGATGTCGCATTACTTCATTGAAGTGTTCTAGCATCTAATCGGTTAGCATGCTAACCCCCTTAGGGGTTGGAAAAATGACACCCCCTAGTATATTAAATACAACTATAGAATTTAATACACACATTAAATACACATTAGGAATTAAATGTACCATATTAATTAGGAATTCTCTCACTATTAAATACACATTATGAATTAAATACACACATTAAATACACATTAGGAATTCTCTCACTATATTTGATTTTTTTCTTTTTCAGCAGCCTCCGACCACCAGACTTCCTCCGACCGCCACACTTCTCCGGTGAAAATCCCATCGGCAGACTCCCTCCGACCACCTCCAAAAAATATACCACTACACTGATACGGTGTAGCACTGTACTGGTAGATATACCACTGCACTGATACGTTGTACCACTGTACTGGTAGATATACCACTGCACTGATACGTTGTACCATTGTACTGGTAGATATACCACTGCACTGGTAGCGATATCAGTGCACTGGTAGCAATGTCATATCTGAGTATCAGTGCAGTGGTACAAATACCAGTAAAGTGGTAATTAATGTGGTGTATTTAATGCTTACTTTATATTTAATAACAGAACATTTATTATGTTTACTTTCTTTAATACTTGTCAATAATTAATGAAAAATTGACCAATTAAAAGAGGGGTGTAAAAAAACCAACCCCTTAAGGGGTTAGCATGCTAACCCGTCCCTCTAATTAGGCGCTAAACCCATAGGCGAGGCGTTTTCCCATTGCCTTGCGCCTAGGCATGCCAAAGCGTAAGCTTAAGCATGCATTTTTGAACCATGACCGCGGCAGACCAAAGCGGTGAATGCATCACCGCGGTTGACGGCCACGGTGAATGCTTGACTTAACACTGAAAACTTCAGACAAACGTAACTTTGCGCTCGATTATCCGATTGTAGAGATTTTTTTTTTATTCCATATAACTTTTCAAGATCTTTCAATCTGCAACAAGACATCATCTAAAAAAATGTCGTTTGTTACCCCGAACGAGCAATTTTTCAATTTTAGCAAACTTTGGAAGGACATAACTTTTAGCTCCTCAATCCAAACGTCGTAAAGTTTATTTTGATTGCGCATAAATTTTTAAGAAATACAACTTTTACTAGGAAATAATTTTTTTTTAAAGAAGTATTTTTGGGTATACGGAATTTTGGGAATAACTTTGCCTTTACTTTTCACAAATCGACATACTTTCCAAAATTATGGTTATTATCAAAGTTGTAGTACTTCAAAAATTATGCAAAATCAAAAAACGTTTCATGACATTCGGATTGTGGAGCACAAAGTTATGATCTTCCAAAGTTTGTCAAAATCGAAAAATTTCTCGCTCGCGGTAGCAAATGATTTTTTTGGGATGAAGTCTTGTTTCAGATTGAAAGATCTTGAAAAGTTATGTGGAATAAAAAAAACCGCTACAATCGGATAACCGAGCACAAAGTTACGTTTGTTTGGAGTTTCAGTGTTACGTCAAGCATTCACCGCACCGTCAACCGCGGTGATGCATTCACCGCTTTGGTCTGGCGCGGTGAATGCATTCACTGCGGTTGACAACAGCGGTAATACCCAAACATGTGTATTTTGAGAAAATTTTTTATAACGTGTGTATTTTGGAATTTTTTTAAAAAAACATATGTATTTTGAAAATTTTTCCAATATATTTAAGATACCAAAATATAATGAAGGCATGATATGAAATTACCTCTTTTCTATTTTAGATTATAAATATATAAATATTTAATAAATATAAATAAAAGTAATAATATTCAAATAACTAATTCATAAATAAAAAAAATAACCAACTAATATAATTTTATTTTGCATAAACAACAAAGGGGATAGGGGTTAGCACCGTGATAACTAGCAAAAATCACTACGGATTATTATAAAATCAATACAACATCTAAGCTAAATCACTACTAATTCAAACTAGTAGTAGTTTTTCCCTTGGTTAGGACGGTGCTAACTATTGTACAATTAGCACCGTAGCCGTTCCCACAACAAAGACGTGTTTTCATATTATAAAAGAAATGAAAAATATATCCATTGTTTACATGAGTCTCTTTCACTAAACTAACATAAACAAACTTATCTCCAATTCAACTTCAAAACTTGTTCTTAATATAGCTCAATCTAAAAAATGCTCTTTCTACATTTGTAATTGTAACTGGTAGAATCAAAACTAGTTTCAAAAGCAAATTAATTGACGGATATAACTGATGAACTTTTATATCCACCATTATCCTAGATAATTCATCAATTTCTTCCAATTCAACAAATCTCTCACCAACCATAACATCATATGATAATACACAACAAATTGTGGTGGAATAATAGTGTCATGAATGAAACCAATAAATAGACATTTTTTTGTCAATTAATGAACAAATAATGAGTTATGATGTAGTTTCAAAATATCTGTACGTTATTTGTAGATGTTGAGTTCGATTCTTAATTCAAATATATGTGGGTTTTTTCCCTCTCCCCAAAAGTTACCCTATCCGAGGATAAGGGCAAAGTACCCTCGCTCTGCCTATGAATATGATCATGAATTCAATTTTTTTATCACGAAATTGGCACAAAATACAAGATTATTTTTTTATAATGGTGATTTTATTAAAGAAAGCAAACAGAAAAAAGTAGTACAAACAAACACGAACAAAGGCTCAGTAGGACTGAACCCAGAAGGAGTTCTGATACAGAAGAAAAAACAAGCAACAAAGAAACAAAAGAGCACAAGTACAAAGGAAGAACGATACAAGACGAGAACACAAGAATAAAAAACAGTCAGACGAATAAGACCGTCCCCGCTGAAATAGGGAAGGGAAAAGCTAAATCGAATCCAAAACAGAAAGGGGGAAATTAAATTCTAGGAAAACATTCAGCAAGCCAAACAGAGGTATGATCCTTATCAATCTTGTTATGAGCAGATAGCCAGGAAACAACCATCCTGACTGCTTTCCGAGCGATGATCTTAGCTGTTGAATGCGAGTCTTTAAAGATGCGTTGATTACGCTGCAGCCACACCAACCGGCAACCACCAAGTAGCATGAAGGATACAGAGAATGAACCACAATCATCAATACTGTTGAGCGTCAAGGATGGTCTATTACTGTTGGGGGTTAAGTTCCTGAGGTGGGATTTGGGTGATGGATTATAGTCCACGATTGTAGTTTATCAATCGATCCTCACTTATTTTTTTAATTACAAATTTTATCCTCCTATTTTATTTCAATGGGTATGCAAATTGATGGTATGTGACAAAATCGGCTGGAATACCCCTTATATAATGGTAGTCAATATTGATTAAGAATTGGAAGTATCGGGAAAACCAATGGTACGCTCGGTATGCCAATTTTTGGCTCCCAACAAAATAACGTTTTTTGGTGATTTTTTTAAATATGTATTTGATATGAGAATTTATAATTTTTGTTTGTAATGTCTCATTTTGTTTAAAGATGAATGGTGATATTATTTGTTGGATTCAATTATAAACCTTTGAATGTTGATATATTTAAGTATAATGATAATTTATTTTTAAATATCGTATTCACTTATTTAGAGGTTCGAGGTACCTCCCGGGGAAAAGCTTGATGAGATTGAAAGTAATTGTTGGTTGAGAAAGCGACTATACCACCTTAAAGAAGATAGACTTAGCTTAGATGTCATAGTCCGCATTTAACATTGTTACCCATCAAAGATGAGGCCAGAATGGCTACGACTGTATATGGGAGCTGGGTCGTGTTTGGGCCGGCACGACACGAGCACACTTCATGTCCATTTATTTCGTGTCATGCTTGGTAAGGCCTGTTAGTTTTCGTGTCGTGCCGAGAAAGTCGATTTGTTAACTTTGTTAGGCCTGACTCAGGCCCGAGCACGACTCGAATCGTGTCATGCCTATTTGTGATTGTGCCATGCTCGTATTCATGACTAATTAAAAAGAAGAAAATAAAAGAGAGAATGAAAAAGAAGATGAAAAATTGGACGGAGAAAGATAGTATTAACCGAGAATGTTTAAGAAAAGTAACAAATAAAGAGGAAAAGAAAATTGAAAATATAACGAGTGTGATTTGGCTTTGTTTAATTCTTCGTCCATTTTTACTTATAGTAGTAATTACGTATAAATCTTTATGACACTTCCAACTTCAACAAATAATTATTTTTCTGCTTGTATTTGTAATATTTGAACCTATAATTCTTTCTATATTTATTTTCCATCAAATAAATGTAATTTTTGTGTCATTTTCGTTCTTATACTCAATAAAATATCAAATATATTAGACCCAACACGGCTCACTTATATACCGTGCCCGACACGACTCATAAATTATTCGTGCTCGTGCCGGGCTGACCCATTTATTTCGTGTCCGTGCTCTAACCGAGTTGTGTCGTACTAGCCCATGGTCGGCCTGGCCCGGTGCCCACGTACAGCTCCAACTTGGTGGAAAGATTGGAGGCGTCACAGTAGAAGCATTCTATCTATTTAGGCTCGAGACTAATTTCTTTCGAATCAACAGTACAGCTCAATAAGCGACCAAACTCCCATCTCCAGCTCTATTTTCCAGTTTGGACAGGCTGATAATGTCGATGGCCAACATAACCAGGCCCTAGTGATAGGCAACCAAAAACAGTCACAAGACCTGGACAAAAGCAAGGTGCCATCGAAAATACCACATTGCACAACACAGGAAGAATACCATGTGTGATCAAGAAGAAAATGGCTACTGCTACTCATCTCGCAAGGTGGGATCACAAGATTATGACTTGTGCTTTGCTGGAGGGCCGCTGAAACCCATTCAACTCTTTTAGAGTCTGAATCTGTTGATGAGGTAGCGAACTTGCTGAAAATGTTATCAACATCTTGTCAAGCATGGGTAAAGCGGATAATAACCATCGGATGAAACACATTTCCCTCTTTAAACCATGCAACTGATACAGTTCAACTTGCTTTAGCCTCTTTGGTTTGTACGTCCTGCTTTCGCACATCCGTTGTATGACTCTCAACTGGACGTCTACATTCGTGTTTGCCCCTATCCTGGTCTGCAATTCCGAATCGACGAATACTAGTAAGCAGCAAATCTTGCCTTTATTTTTCCAATATCTGACTAAACCTACACATTGAAATCCTCTACCCAGAAAGTTACATGCTTGACCTCAAGGATCAAAGGAAGAAACCACGCACACAAAATATATATAGACAGAGCGAGAGGAGTTGAAGATCTTACACCGATGATGAGTTCTTGCAATTTAGGGGAGTGTTCGATTAACAAAAGACAAGCCCAGACGTCCCTCACAGAGCTGAGACATATTTCATCCATCCTGAGTTGCTTAAGCATCATTAGATTTGGTGATGGACTCGTTAAAGTTATCAGATTTGGAGGTGGCAAGTCCTGCAACGCCCAATGAGTTCGTTCATGTAAGAAATAGTCGTGCCAACTCAAAAACTTCCAAGAAAAAGGGTCAAGACAGCAGTGGTACATTACCACGAACAACCGCATTGCTACAGATAGCCGCTCAACTGCTGGACAACCTCCGCATAATTTCATGAAATTAGTGGGTTCATCTTTTTCTTAGGAAGATCAACAAAGCTTACAGTCCGATGGACAGTCACATCTTTGAGAAGTGGAGCCTCCTTGACCAACAGAGAGCTGAAGCTCCCCACAAAATGGAAAAGGCTGAGGCTGGATGCTTCAATCAGTATATCGAGGCGGTTGAAGGCACTGCCACGATCCATCATAATCAAAGACGACAGCAATGGGCATCTAATGGCGAGAGAAACCCCAGCAACATCCGGGAACTTGGTTAATCTAAGATCAAGGCAAGTAAGCGCGCTGAATTGATCGAACGAAATTTGAGAGCACGTGAACGTGCACGCAAGCAACTGCAACTTCTTGAGCTGTCTGAATGAGAAGAGACGACTAGGCAGCTTGCAACCATCGATCTCAATGCACAACTTCTCGATACATTTCTCGTGCAAGGAAAGCAAGATCTGATCAACAAGAGCAGGGTAGCTGCTCAGTTGAGGGATCGAAAGAGAGAACTCCCTCAAGGGTCCCTTGTGGTAACAGAGAACTCTGAACACATCCGATATGAGTCTGTCGATCGTACGAGATGTCTCAAAAGCTGGAAATGGCGTCCAGAAACTGGCATCGAATACGAGTGATGGACGATTCACCCATTTGTGCCTCCAGGCAGATGACAAGATACTGGTCTTAACTGCTTCTCGCAGTGGAAGAAAGGTCAAGATGTGCTCAATTAGACTCTGCGGCAGAGAACCGATTCTATCACCATCATCGCCGCCATCGCTCCTACAAACCTTTTAATTCCCCGGACCAGGAACATCCTAACGGCAACACATAAGACATGGAATCGTATGAAAACATAAAAGCACAGCGAAGACCATGGATCCCTAGGGCTTCGTTTAAACAGAAAAGCAAAGCATATCAATGCTCAAGATCATTGAAATCTCAAGACAACAATAGGGGAAAGAAAGAGCACTCACCATAGTCGTCAATGGCTCTCTTGTTATGATCTTTCGGTTGGATATTGGTGCAGTCGCTTCGTTCCTGCCACTCCGCTGAACTCTAAGCATAATTGATCTTTCGGTTGGATATTGGGGCAGTCGCTTTCGCTATATTTTTTTCCCACGCTAAACTACTTTGCGAAAACACCTCAATACGGCCCCAATTTTGGCAATTTGAACGAAAATAGCCCCAACTTTTGAAAAATGACAAATATGATTGTGAGTTGAGTTCAAATTTTTATGATAGATCAAAGAAGTGGCTGAGTACAAAGTTAATCATCAAACTTGATGATCTATATAACTCCGAATCCAAATCATCAGAGGACTAGCCATTTCAATATGAACATAGATGTTATTGTGTCATATAGAGGTCATGTTTACATTACATACAATAAGTTTCCTTGAAGTTTTATCATTCATTTTGTAATAAAATACAAATGAATTCAAAACGGTAACTAGTCAAAATTCCTTTTACTCTTGCTCCCTGCGGTGTCCTCTATAACAAGAAGAAACTCCTAACATGAAACGAATTAAATAGAATGACAATTTGGCGTACTAATGAAGTATCGTACCCACTTCAAAGTAAGGACGAAAAAATCACTAATGAAATATTGACGTTTTCAAGTACCACATTTCCAGCTATGAACGGACGTTCAGAATTGTTTTGTTAACAAGTTTCTATTAGTCCATTTTCCTGGTAAATGGTTTGTCCTGCTTTTATGGGGTCCTTTGTTAGAAACAAATTATTTGCAACTTTTGGTTAATTCGCATTATTGTCGGTTTTGTTAATTGGGGGATTATTTGGGGTATTCGGGCAATAAACAGGGAGTCAATTGTTACGTTTTATTAGTTGGGTAGGAGGTCGAAATTATGCGGATTATATAATATGCAGTAGGGTGTTATTTGTCATTAAGCAATAAAATATCAAAAACCTAAAATCTACTCTCTCTTCCTCTCTCTTCCTGCATCCCCCTTTCCCTCTTCCCCTCCCAAATTCGGCAGCAGCAGCTGCTCTCCTTTCCCCTCTCTTTGTCTCAATTCTCCAATTCCAAATCCCTAGCTAGGTCAATCCCTAATTGATCTAGCTAATTCCCTAATCCCAAACCCGTTAGAAACTTTATTTCTAACATCTGGTATCAGAGCCTGGCTCAAGAGTGTGCGTTCCTCTGAGCTCTTGAACCAGGGAAGGCGACGATGGTATCGACAAAGTCCATGAAGGCAGCAGAGATGGCGGCGCAGGCGGCTGGGAAGAACTCCGAGGGGGGCGATGTAGGGCTCGACGGGGGGTTAGAGGATCTCACAGAGATCGAAGGGCTGAGGAAGGTCGTGGAGACGCAAGTAGAGAGGCAGGCGAGGGTCGAGGAGGAGTTGAATGGTTTGCAGGTGCAAGCCAGAGATCACGGCCGCACTCTTGACGCGTTGTTGGCAGTAGTGGAGGCGTTGCAGGGGCAGGTGAGCAGCCTGATGGAGGCTTGGAAGAGAAGCGGGGCAGGAGCTGGTGACGGCGGGAAGCCGCCGGAGGAGGGAGGCGCGGTGGAGGAGGGATCCGTCTCGGTGGCGTTGGTCGGCGGCCAGGGAGCCGAGCGGATCTCGGCGGAAGGGGGGCGGCGGCGACCAACCCTAGCCGACCTCCTGTTTCGCTTACGAGCCACGTCTCCTTCGGCCCGACAAGCAAGGATGGGCTTTTGCCTACCCCATCGGCACAGGAGGTGGCGCGCGCGTGGTAAGGCCAAGATGGCCGAGTATGTGGACCCGGACCTGCAAGCGGGCCTGAATTGGGAGGAGCTGGTGGATCCGGAGCAGGAGATGGATCGCGGGCCATGCCCTACGAGCAGTGTGGGCTGGGGACGGATGGCAGAAGGGAGGAGGGCAGCCTGGTGGGCCGAGCCCGGTGGGAAGGTGGGCCGGGTGGAGGTTGGAGGGAGACGGGTCCCCGACGTTCGGGCAGCATGGGTTACCCAAGCCCGCAAGGCCAGTTCGACGAGTACTGTGGGCCCCTTCCCTCTTCTGCGATTCAACGGGGCGCCGGAAAGGAATCTAGGAGGACGTGGACGGGTGATCGGAGGCCGAGGAATGAGTTAAGCTAGAGAGCGGGGTACCAGGAGGATGAAGGGGACGACTGGGTGTGCGACGGGGACCCACGATTCTCACAGCACTACCATAGTGGGGGCCCAAGCGGTGGAAGAAATGCCCGTTATTTCCGGGGTGGGTAGGAAGAGGATGATATGGTATTTTGAGCTCGGCCTCCCATCATTGAGTTTCCAAAATTCAATGGTCGGGAGGATGCCGGACTGTGGCTATACTCAGCTGAACGGTGGTTCAAGAACCACCCCACTAGGGAAGAGCGGAAGGCTCAACTAGCTTCCTTTTACTTGGAAGGGGATGCAGTGTAGTGGTGGGAGTGGATGGAGCGGACATACGCGGAAGCACATACACTGATTACTTGGCCTATGTTCAAGGAGGAGCTGCGGTATCAGTTAGGGAAATCAGAAGGATGGGCGCCAGAGCAGTTGGCCAAACTGCGTCAGACCGGGGCGGTAGCGGAGTACAGGGCCGAGTTCTTCAAACTGGGTAACCAGTGTAAGGGGGTCCTCGAAGAGACATTGGTGGTCCTATACATTGCGGGACTCCGCCCGGAGATTGCGGCCGCAGTTCGGGTATTCGAACCGGAGTCACTGCGAGCTATGTTTCGTCTTCTAGGTAACAAAGAGGAGGAACTGGCTAGCTGGCGGGGAGTGATAGGCCGGTATCAGAAGCCGAGTGGAGGAGAAAGCGGCAGCGGGCCGAGTAGCGGGCCGGGGGGCCCGCCACCGGGACCGGGCACAGTCGCCTGATAATCGGCTTTAACATATTGGATTCTTTGACCTTATGTGATTATCCGTGGTATGTTTTAGCCAATTGGTACTATTTTAGGGCTCGCTAACCCGAGAATGGTTGAAAAACCATTACTGCCTAGTGCCATGAGTTTGATGTATTACAGGTGAAGAAAACACGAAAAAGAAGTTGCACCGGCAAACAATTCTCGAAGCTGGGCTTAAAGCCCAGCTGGATGGGAACACATAATCATGGGCCTGGGGACTATTTTGTGGACGGAAGCAAATTCTTCTCTGGTGTGGGTTTTTTTGGGCGGAATTCTTTAAAGAAAAGGCACAAGGGGGAATTGAAGGGAGGCGCCTATTATTCTGCTGGGAGAAGGAATTAGAGGAAAGGAGGGATTTGGATAGAAGGAATTTTGGGAGAGGCGGAATATTATTTTTTCTTTGGCCAGGAGATTTTTGGGGAGCGGCGGGCAATTATTGAGGGACGGAAATAGCTGGCGGCTTGGAAGGGAATTCCTCGGGCAGAAGGGATTTGGAGGAGTCTCTTTTTGGTTGGGCAACGAAATTCTGGGGCAGAGAAAATTCTTGAAAAAAGAGAAAGAAGGACAGCGGCACACAGCGCAGCAGTGCAAGGCTTTGGTCGAGCGCGCAGCAGAGAGCGATTGAGCAATCGGCGAGCAGTTTTTCCCAAGCGGCTAGAGCTGAGTTCAACGAGAGCGATTAGTTGGTTGGATTTTCTAAACCGAATTAGTTGTTTTTTGTTGATTTAGAACTTGATGATCAAAACCCTAATGTTTTATCTTAATTTCGTCATGAACTAAACCCCGATTTCTGGGGGAAACACCATAGGATGTAGCTATTTCTTGATTTGATGGATTGATTCGTATTTCTTTTCTTCCAATCTCTATTGCATGAAATTTCTTAATGCTTTGTGTTGACTGGCCACCAATACAATGAATTGTAGTTAATTAGGTTATTAGCGACAGTGGAACCCTAATAACTGAACCTATTTCATGTGACATAGTAACTTATCGAAGCGACAGTGGATTAAATAAGGTGCTATGCGGTCTTAAATAGGTTATCGATCTTCAGACTATATAGTTAATTCATTGAGCTACGACAGTAGGATTTGAATTGATTATTTAGTACGTAGTAATTCCCGACAGGGATAGCTAGCACATTCGTGATATCCTGGCTGTAGAGGTACGGATTAAATTGATTGGAATATGTGAATTAATCTGGATAGGATAGGTAGTGAATCCCGGTGTTTCTCCCAGAGCTTTCTCCCATTGATTTTCTCCCGACCATTTTACTTTGCTTAATTAGTTTAATTATTTTGCTAGTAGTTAATTAATCTCATTAAACCATTACAACCTATAGTTTACTCCATAGAATTGATAGATCATAAGGTTGTACCAGTCCCTGAGAGACGATACCCGGACTTTCCGGTTTACTACAAGATAGGATTAAGGCATATGCTTTTGCCCTATCAAGTTTTTGGCGCCGTTGCCGGGGACTGCCATACCTTATTTTTGTTGATTTTTGGTGAGTGAACTATTTTGATCTGGGTGTTAGTGTGCAGGTGAAGTTTTCAGGTTAATCCTCCTCGTGCATGCCAAGGAGGACGACTGGCAATTTACTGCCACTAGATCCCGAGATCGAGAGGACCTGCCGATAGAATAGGAAGCAGGTCAAGTTAGGGAAGCAGCCTACCACATCCACAACTCCTAGGCCTTCCCTAACTCAGAATCGTCAACCGAGAAGGCAGGTGATACCACATGTCATCCCTACACCACCTACACCACCGCCGCGCGTCATCGAGCCTGTCATCATGGCTGAACAGGATCGTTCGATCAGGGCTCGTCTGAATCGGAGGACTGGAGCCCGAGCTTCATGTGTTGTCATTCCGGCTGGGGATGCAAACATGGAGATTGCCCCAGCCTTCATCAATATGATCACGAATGGGTACACCTTCTCAGGGGCCAGCACCGAGGATCCTCATGAACATCTTCGCCGGTTTGCAAACATATGTGACACTATGAAGAGCCCGGCTGTGTCTGATGATGCCATCCGTCTTCGGATGTTCTCATTTTCTCTGCTAGGGAATGCATCACACTGGTTCCAGAACTTGACACCCCGTTCCATCACAACATGGGGTCAGCTTGAGAAGACCTTTTTGGATAAGTACTTTCCTCCTGCCAAGGCAATGAAGAGGCAAGAGGAAATTGTCACTTTTAAACAAGCTGAGGATGAAAGTCTGACCGAGGCATGGGAGCGCTATAAGGAGCTTCTGATGAGATGCCCGAGCCACGGTCTGGAAGATTGGAACGTGATCTCCATTTTCTTCAACGGAATCAGAAGGCAATACCGAGATGCTTTGAATAATGCTTCCCGGAATGGTTTCACAAGAATGGAAGCACCAGAAGCATATGAACTGGTGGAGAAGATATGCTCTGAAGATACTGAATGGGGTAGTAAGACCGGCATTCGAAGGAGAGGAGGCTTGCATGAGATAGACAGAGTTGCAAGCTTAGAAGCAAAGATTGATGCTAAGCTGGATTCCAAGTTCGATGCACTCGAACGAAGGCTGGCTAAGTTGGCTCTTGGTAGACAGGAGGAGGTTGCTTATTGCGAATTATGTGAAGGTGCTCATCACAGGGATCTATGTCCACTGGTGGCTGATCAGGTGGAAGATGTGCACTATATCAACAATCAGAGAAATCAAGGCCAGGGTGGTATGTATTCGAATACCTACAACCCACACTGGAGGAAGCATCCTAACTTTTCCTGGGCGAACAACAACCCAAATGGTGCTCGCAACATTCCACCTCCAGGCATGCAGAAACAACAACCTCCACCTCAACCAGAGAAGAAACCACAACTTGAAGAATTGCTTCTGGCTCACATGCAGAAAACCGACAATAATCTGAAGGGCCTGGATCAGTTTGTCACTCAACAGCTAGCCATCAACAATAATTTACAATCTTCTATGCTAGCTATGGAGAGGCAGGTGAGACAGATGGCTCAAACTCTGGCGGATATGCAGGGCAGGATTCCTGGGACATTACCGGCTAATACCGAGAGGAATCCAAAAGATGCTAAAGTTGTGGCAGTGACATTGAGGAGTGGTAAGGCCTTGGAAGACCCTAGCAGCTCCGAAAAGGCACCAGAGGCAGAAGAGGAAGCACCGGGAGAAAGATCTGGTGCAGAAAGTGAAGAATCAGCCTTGCACAGGCAAAATGAAAGCGGTTTGCCTGTGCAAAAGCATGCTGCCCGTGCAAAACCAGAAGAGGAAAAAACGAAGAAGGAGGAGCTAAAACCTTATGACCCACCCGCACCATTCCCTCAAAGGTTGATGAAGCCCCTGGAGGACCCGAACTTCAATAAATTTGTGAATCTCTTCAAGCAGTTGCACATCAACATCCTGCTAGCTGAAGCTCTTGAGCAAATGCCCACATATGCCAAATTTCTTAAGGAATTGCTGACAAAGAAGAGAAAATGGACTGATTTGGAGAAAGTAACACTCACACCAGAGTGTAGTGCTGTTATCCAAAATAAATTGCCAGAGAAGAGGGAAGATCCAGGGAGCTTCACCATCCCATGTATTGTTGGTGAGACAGAGTTTACAAAGTCGCTTTGTGATCTTGGAGCCGGCATAAATCTCATGCCATATTCTGTTTATAAGAAGCTGGGACTCCAAGATGTGATCAAGCCGACTCGAATTACTCTACAGCTGGCTGATCGATCAGTAAAGGTCCTCAAAGGCGTGGTGGAGAACGTGCTAGTGAAGGTGGGAAAGTTCATCTTCCCCGCCGACTTCGTCATTCTAGAGATGGAGGAGGACAGGGAAGTACCTCTAATTCTTGGGAGACCCTTCCTAGCTACGGGGGGTGCTCTCATAGATGTCCAAAAGGGCGAGCTGACATTCAGAGTCTGTGGGGAAGAGGTAAAATTCAATGTATACCATGCAAGTAAGTACCCTAATGACTCTAGTGATGTGTTTGCGGTGGATGTCATAGAATCATGCACTGATGTTGTTTTGAACAATGATTATGATGCTGATTCTGAGTTTGATGATTCTGATAATGAACTTGATGAGCTAACCGTGTCAAAGAGGGCACAAATGCTCGAGGCATTACCTATGCAGGTGGAAGGTGATGAAAAGGCTAAGTTTCCAGAGAAAATGGTTCCATCTCGGATCCAGCCTCCGGAATTGGAACTAAAACCATTGCCTAGTCACCTTAAGTATGCATATCTGGGGGA